CTGTCATTCCATTAAAGTGGCATATTTCTGCCACTTGTCTGGTATGAAAAGCACAGTAAAAAATCTCCAGACTTTCTTTGTGGCAATACTGCCTGTCAGCATCAGTATGTTATGGGAAGATCTAATAGACTCATAAAATATCATGGTTTTGAGCTATACTTGAGGTAGTCTGTACATTTGTGATCTAGTTTTTTTCTTTCTTTTCTCATTTGTAAATAAAGGATGATAAATAACTTTGATTAAACAGACTAAACTGACCAGATGACAGTGGATTCAAATGAAGTGAAGATGAGCTCCTAACAGGTATTCATTTGACATGGTAGTTTTCCTTTCACTGCTGCCAAAGTCATGATAGCTACTTCTCTCTGTAAAAGTGCAGGCGTATCCTCTTAGCTTGTATTTTTCAATGACTGTTTAAAATCAAAGCCCACAGAGGCAGGAGGGTGGATTTGAAAGTGACTGAACTGCTGGGCTTAGGGGGTTGTGATAGCAAGACAGAGGCCAGCTGGAGGCTGTTCAGTATTTGGAGTCCCCTAAGGGTGCTGGGGCTAATACTGTTTAACCTCTCTATAAGTGAACTGAAGGTTGTGGGATGGAGTGCAGCCTCAGCAAGTTGGCAGATTATCCCAAATTGGGAGTTTGGTACACCAGGTAGTTGTGCTGCAATACTTGGACAGGCTGATGAAGTGGACAGAGAGGAACCTCATGAAGTTCAGCCAAGGGAAATGCAAAGCCCTGAGCCTGGGGAGAATAACCCCATGCTCCGGTACAGAGGCTTCCTGGCTGGAAAGCAGCTCTGCAGAGAAGGATCTTGGGGTCCTGGCAGTCAAGCTGACCACAAGCCAGCACTGCAGTGTCACAGCGAAGAAGGCCAACAGCATCCCAGGCTGCACTGTATTAGCATGGTCAGCAGGTCAACAGAGGTGACCTTTCCCCTCTGCTCTGCAGTGGTGAGGCCACATCTGAAGTGCCGTGTACAGTTCTGGGCTCACCAGTAAAGGAAAGACACGGGCATCCAGGAATAAGTCCAGGGAAGGGGCCCTATGACCATTAAGGGACTGGAACATCTGACCTACAAAGAAAGGCTGTGAGAGCTGCCTGGCCTGGAGAGGAGAAAACTCAAAGCAATATTGTCTGCAAATACCTGATAGGAAGGAATGAAAAAGTTCGAGTCAGGCTCTTCTCAGAGAGTCTCTCTGAGTTTCAGGGTCTCATCAATGCCCAGTGACAAGACAAGAGACAAGGGCACAAACTGAAATGCAGGAAATTCTGTTTGAACATAAGAAAAGTCATTTTACTGTGAGGGCGGTCAGACACTGAAACAGGCTGCCCAGAGAGCTTGTGGAATCTGTCTTGGGGATATTCAAACCTGACTGGACATGATCTTGAGCAGCCTGCTCTTGCTGCCCCTGCTTTGAGCTAGTGGGTTGGAACAGACTATTCCTAGAGACCTCTGCCAGCCTCAGCCGTTCTGTGATTTCCTCCATCCATAAAAGAAATTTTATGAATCAGAGACAGACCATTGATATTTTTAAAAGACAAACTAGGACTGCTCAGTCCCACTTGCCAGACTTGCACTGTTCTTCCATTACTTGATTTCTTTTGAGTCCACAGGGTCTTGTCATTCGTTAGCTCATTCTTTCCTTGCCTGTGGTCTGCGATTATTGCTCACCTACACACCTTGTTCTTACCATCCTAGTTCCTCATCAGGTCCTTGGAGAAATATTCATTTCCTTGACTTTCCTTACCTTGACTTTCATCTAGGAGTTCACCAGTCTCCTCATAATGTTTCCTTCATCCTTAACCCCAGTATTTAATTGTCATGGCCTAAAAACCCAGATCCATGTTCTAGACCAGGAACTGCCTGTGCTTGTAATTTGACTAGGAAATAAGTCAAAAGATAATGTAGCAATTGTGAAGTTAATATTAAAGTTATTTTGCTTCCTCTTCATTGTCCTTCCTCTTAGGTGTTGTGTAGTCTTTGAACTACATCGTGAGAGAATTGTCATTATTGCTTTAGAAATATTGCAACAGTTCATACCAATTTAATATTAGCCAAATAATATCTAAAGTGCTATCTTCCAGACTAAGAAAAATGTAAAAACTAAGGTAATTAAAATTTGTACTTTTTATTATAATGGTGACTGATGCAGTGGAAACTAAATTGTCTTTAGGCTTGCATTGAAAAAATAACTTCCCCAGGCAAATCAAAAAAGTAAAATTGGCGATGCTGACTTAATTCCTCAATCTGGCATATAGGTCTGCACTTCAAGTAAGCCTGGTGTTGGCCAGCAGATTTTACTTTTATTTTGAAACCAGATACATTTTAATTATGTTCCCTCTAGATATTCTCTTAATTAATTAGAAATATCCGAAGAGTTAATTAAAAATACAAACTTTATTTGATTCTATATCAAACCTGACATTATGATCTTTTTATCTACAAAGTAAGAATTATGTGGGATCAGAAATCTGAATTATTCATGATGGTTTCCAGCCGTTTTTTTTCTTCCTCCTTTGTTCAGTGTAAAATCTTATAAGCTTTTCTTTCAGTCAAGGTGAAAGCAATATTAAGTCTCGGAAGTCAAACTTACGAAAGACATGTAGCTCTGTGAAATCCTTGCCCTGTAATCCTGGCTTTCTATTCACCACCACTATTCAATATCCCACTTTCAGTATAAGCTTCACAATATATCAGCAGTTGATGAGATTTATTTGTTATACTCCTGTTTTCCTTCTTCATAAAGAAGCTTTATCCATCCCTTCACTCCCCTAGGAGTAACACATGTCTGTGATTGTTTCTGCTGGGCTCACTAATCCAGCAGCTCCCTTCAACATGCTGGGCAGTTGGTAGAGGGTGGAAGGTGAGGGAGGAGTAGAGCTGTACTTGTTAAGATTTAGGACTGCAATGTAGTGTGTAGTGAATTTTAAAAACATTGTTAAGATCCAGTTCAATGGTTATGAGCTAACAGGGTTGGTTGTGTGAGTAGATATGCTGGCAGGTCACTTCTAAAAGATGCTTTATGAATTAAAGCTTGACTGTAGTATGTTGAACCTCTCTACAGGACTAACCAGAATTATTTCTGGTCATTTTGAAGACAGGACAACAGATGAGACAGAAGTTGAGTCTGATCTATGCTAATGAGCATTTCCTATTTGCATTATTGCCTGTAGTGACTCCATGTGTGTTTTTCTTACAGCCTCTGACTTCATCTGTGGTGATATTTTTCTCTTAAATAAACACATTTCTGTGTAGAAACGTAAAAGCTTTCTTATTTGTTATTAAGGTTGAAACCACAAAGAGTATTGTTGTTCTTAAATAAGTTCTTTGTCTCTAACCTGCCTTTAAGGTGAAATTAAAACACAGAGAATTCAGTATGCAAATAGCATGCACACCAGATGATCTGAAGAAAGCCTGCACATTTCCACAGAAAACAAATGTGAGTGGAGGAAAGCAGATGCTTTCTACCAACGGAGTGTACATACAGTTCTCTAGAGGACCTGAACAGCAATTTATTTTCAGACTGCTGGAAGTATGCAAATTCCTACAGAATTAAATGTGAATTTAAAAGAAATGGCATCTATTAAAGACAATACTACCCAAAGAGGCAATTGGGAACTTAATAATTTAATCAAGAACTTGAACAGGCTCAGCCGTATATCTAAAGTCAGTGACTCAAATGTCATCTGTTTTTAGCAAAGACATGTTGAAAAGATGTCTTTTAAAGTATGGGCATTTGGAGCATTTTTCTGTGACCATGGACAAGTATGTTTGTATGGTGTGTATAGATTTTCGGATGATTCTCCATCAAAAAGCATCATCTGTTCACTTGAGCTGCTCATAGGATGTAGTCAGTGATACATGTGTGTGTATCACCAGCATTATGTTGATTATTTTTAACCCAGCAGTTCTGGGTAAGATGAGTTATGTCCTGACACACGTGGAATCACCACAGTTATAAATTAAATTCTTACTGCTGGATGTTGTTGCACCTGATGGCTGTAGGACTGGATGGATGTTGCTGAGATTACCATCTGAAGGCGAGGGCCGGGTCCGAAGTGCAGTGGCATAAGTCTTGCACGAAGGGATTACTGGTGAGGCAGCAGCCAGCTGAATAGACGTGGGAGATATGTATGTTTTCCTTCTTTATGCAAAAGCACAGTGTTCCTAAAGTGGGGATGAGCACACAGGATGGCAGAGTTCAGGCTCGCCAGACACTCTGCCCTGTGACCCTCACAGAATCCACCTGCTCAGTTCGTCCTACTGCCTTTTTGTCTCTTAGCAATTCCATTTAATGACTCTGTTTGTACAGAGAGATGCCCAAGTGGGGTCAGGGAGGGCAGGAGATGATGTGCAACGTAACATTTAGTAGAAATTTTGACAAAATGCTTAAGGTCAGATGTATCCATTTAGATGCACTGGAAGTGACAAGTTTTCAGGCCTTTTGAAAGCTGTGAAAAGGCAATGAAGGTCACTGCTTATAACTTTGGGAATTTGATTTTAAGCATTCATGTATGACAAGGTTTGACCAGGGTTGTCATGGCAGGAAACTCCCTGTACAACCTGAAGCCCACCCAGCCCTGCTGTGCTGGTAGTTTAATAAAGACAGTGAGTGGCTGGGCTGTGTCCTCCACCTCTCATACACTCCACAAACAAGGAACAAAGTAAACAGGAGTTTAGTGAGTGGGTAGATATAGTATTACCTCATTTCAGAGCAGAAATGCTTGAACTGATAACTAAAATGAACCTGGCCAGGAGGGAAGACACCGTGATCACAACAGTGAGTTTGCTGGGTAAGGTCATCTCTGCAAGCAGAGTCTCCTCAGCCTTTGAGTTACTCTTTATTTTACTCTGCTTGTGTGTTTTAAAAACAGAAATTACTACATCATGTCCATGGATTGAGCATAAAAGATTACCAGAATGTTCATTCTCTGGCTGTTTTCCACTGGTTGAGAGTCACCTTACAGCTGAATAATGTGTAATTTTTTTCTTCACACAGGTTGTAGTCCTCGGCAAACATTCTAGAGGCTATCACTACATGTTAGCTAACCTGGTAAGCACTTTTCTTCATGACAAGTGTAGCTGCATTTTAGAGGGTAATATATTCTGTTCAAGTTGTGGCAACTTTAATAAGAAAGTGGAAATGCATGGATGAGTTCTTGGATTTTGAGAAATTACTTCAGTAAATACTAGAACTGGTATTTCATTTTTACTCAGTTATGGTCGTTCTTTTGTCTGAGAATCTCATATCCTCTACCAGTTTTAAAATAATAATTTAATTGTATGCTTTGCACTGATTTCTGTCCTCATAAATTAAATGCTTGTGACTGTAATCTTCTATGTAACATACTTTATATTTAAGCACTCCAGGAAAAATAATTTTAGCATATTTGTGTATAAGTGGTAAAAAGCTGCAAATTAGAACAATTCCATTAACTAAACCAGCCAGGCTGTTTAGTTTTTCTTTTGTATTTCAGACTGTAGGGCTGTGCCTTTGTATGTGCTGACCTACCAGGAAGAGGCAGTACATTTTTATTTGTATCAGAGCTTCTTCTGGATTGTAGGATTGACTTTCAGGGACTTCTTTGATGCCTTTGAAACACCATCTGCTTAAGTTCCTTATAAACATCTTGTATTGTAATTAATCCTGCAGGAAGACTCAGTTTTGAGTTCTGTGTCTACTGTGATTGGAAAAATGTTTTTCCAAAACTCACGCTTTCTAGTTAGCAATCCTACTTACTCAAAGATTTTCTGTATCCATGTTTTGGTGTGATTAAAGCAGAAAAGACAAATTTTAAATTACTCTTATTTAGTATAAGTACTGTCTGACTTTAAGATGTGTCATTTTGCATTATAAGAACCAGTCATGATCTCACTGATTAGCGTGTGCATAGAAATACAGAGGTTCTTATTCTGGGTTGCCTTTTAGCATGTGTAACCATTGACATTCAGATAAACATGACTGCAATCAAGTCATACTAATCAAAAAGACTCCAATTTACTGCCTCAGGTATAAATAACAACAGAGTGGGAGAGAATCATCCCGTTCTGTTTGCAAGTGAAATGCTAAGAGATGCTGTGATGGAGAACTGCCTGGCAAGAGGTGTGTGCTTTGCCTCCACAGAACAGTTGAGTGTCGAGTGGTTTTCTGCCCCCAGCCCTGAACCTTCGTTTGCACTTTGCTGTACAAATGGGATTTGAGGTCTTTGACCAGTTTCATCATGCTGAGGACAGCAGAGGAAATAGTACTTCAAGTTTCCCCACAGTTTTCTTTCTGACTGGTGAACATTACGTACCACGTTGCCACAATCCAACAAGGCAGTTTTGTACTGAAAGAACAAAAAGATGTTTTAAATTCTATTCTGTGTCTCCTTGGTCGAATATTGTCAGCTAACAAGAGGAACATTAATCCATTTCTTTTGTGCTGCACTTGTAGCAGGTAAAACTGAGCCAAAGAAAAGGGACTTTGGATGACAATGATTCTTGTTTTCTACATGTGTCCTCCCAGGGTTTCACAGACATTGTTCTGGAGAGAGTAATGCATGGAGGTGCCAACATTACTGGATTCCAGATTGTTAATAATGAAAACCCAATGGTTCAACAATTTCTACAGCGCTGGGTGAGGCTTGATGAAAGGGAATTCCCTGAAGCTAAAAACTCACCATTAAAGGTATTTATTTTAACCTGATTGTGATGGCAATGATATGCTTTTAATAATTATTTGTGACTTTTTAACCTCAGATATTTGCATGTGTATGATACAGATCCCTGGTTAGACTATACTGCAACATTCACTACCCTTCCAGAAGAAAGAAGCAGAGGCTGGTAGTCACACACAAGTGCCCACCATGGTGGGAGTTCCTTAGAGGCAAAGGCTTGATCTTGCAAATCCTGGTGTTGTGCAGTGGATATAACAACTTTTGACTTGAGCTTCTTGAGTTAGTTTTGAGGTGGGGGTGGGGGCTAATTAAGTTAGGGTTTAGATGCAGACTGTGGATTACTAGTCCATTTAAATGGTAATAGAGAATTTCATGTGCAAAATGTAGTAGCTCTGAATTCACTGAGGAACCACTGCTCAGTAGTAGTCACTGCTGACAGTTGCCCTCCTAATCTAACCCTGTATTTTGCACCTCTGTCCTTTACTTGAATAGTCTGGCCATTATATCTGCAACCAATAAAATTTTTCAATTTTTTTTGAATGGAACTCCCAGGTTTACTAAAACTGTCATAGAGTGAGTGAAGTAAATGCCATTCTTATTAGGAGACTGGCAACCTGTTGCTATCTCCCCCAGATCTTTTTGTGCCTCTACTATAGCATCTCTGTAGTAGAGATGCTATTCACTGTCCAGTCAAGGAGTGCATCAAGGATACTCTGTGCAGGCATGGAAATTATAAAATCTTCTAGGACCACTGCATATTACTAATATTCCTATTACATTCCTTCTTTCTCTTCTTCTTTTTGAGAGGCTTGTTCTTTTTCAACAACATCAATAGGTGAATGGATATTGGTTTGCTGGTAGATGAGAAGACCTTAAATTCTGTCACTCCCAGAAGTCCACTCAGGGAAGCCAAACCTAAGAACCACAGCCATAATTAGACAGTTCATGTCTTTCCTGTTAATTTGGGTGGGACACATGCAAGTTGATGAACAGATTTGGATTTCAAAATTACTTTGATAAACTGGGATCATGTCTTAGTATTAGTAAGACAAAATTCAGGAAAGCATTAAAATACTAGATAGGAAGGAAAAATCTCTTCCAGTCCCATGCATGGGGGGTTACCAGGGTAGGTGGTAGTGCTGGGTTGGACTAAAGACACAACAGGAACCAGTTACGAGGTTCTGCTACTTCTGGCAGTGCCATTCAGAGATACACTTTTCCATCCCTGGGAGCATATGATTTCTGTAAGGGAGGAAAATTATCTTAATCCCACACCATCCCACAGCCTTGGTGGGCATTTCAGAGGAAGCAGAGAAAGGCAAACAGAGGCCCACAAAGCCCAGATTAGTGTATTGTTGCCCGTGGATTAGGACCTAGTCCTGCTTTCTAAAGCTTCCTAGCAGTGATGCAGAAGTGAAGATAAGTATCATACTAATCTTAAAAGCTCTGAAATACATACAGTTAACCTGAGAAAATTTTATTCCACTTGAAAGCAATTTACCTTGAGGGAATAATTATTCTTCCTCCTTAACAAAGATTCTTAAGTATATGGTACAAACACAAAGATTACATTACCTTTGCACAAATGTATCACTCATTATAGAAATGTGCACAGTATTTGTCAATCAGACAAAAAGCATACTTAAAAATTGATGTACAGTATTTTTGATTAGGAAATAAAATTGCCTAGAGATTAAAGCCCCGATGTTTAATTTATTCTGTATTTTATCAGCCTTTCCCTTCTTTCTCTCTTTTTTCTCTTTGCATGCTCATGCATTTATAAGTAGAATTCAAATAAAGTAGAAAATTAGATAGCTCTCTTGGCATGACTTGGAAGGGACTGCATTAAGGTTACTGACAATTGACGCAGTCTGCTGAAAAAATTATCAGTGTGTAAGTTTTATGTAGTGCTAGATTGGACAGCTATTACAAGATTTTTTTTTTAATACAAGAACAAATACCTTAAAAATACTGTCTGGTTCTGTATTGTTGCGTGGATTGTGACGTATAACCTTTGTTAACTTTCTAAAAGAGGAGAGAGTGATCGTTGCAAAGCACTACAGGGAGAGGTGCAGGTGGGCATGATCAGGGAATGCCTGTGCCTTTACAGGCAGAGGAGGAACCACCACACACACCCAGTGAGAGTTTATAAACTGCTGTTGTTTAAAGGTCAGTAAGAATGTCTGCTGTATAACGTTTTTCACAGCCCTACCTTTGCACTCTTTTTTATCAGACAGAATTCTCTTGATCTGCACATGCAGACGCCTCACTGTGTGCAGAATTCATAAGGGCTTCTGTCAAACTGAAGGATAACACACAGTTTTAAGAAATGCAGACCTTCAGTTGTGCTATCCTGCCCTACAGGATAGAATTAACTTCTTCTGAATATAATAAATCTTATCCACAAAGAGAGAATCGGAACAAGCAGTTGAAACTTGGATTTTGCCCTAACTCGTGCATGGGCAGCACGTCTTCTGGCACGAACTCCAGCATCAGGTTCCTTGGGAGGCAGGGTCTCTGTGGTACCACAGGCTGCCAAAAGAAGGGCAGGAGCACCAGTACACGCAGATCCCTCTTACATTCTTCTTTTTTCCTCTGCATCCTCTTACAAACGCTGTGGAAATATGAAGAGGGTTGAAATCTGGTCTTACACACTGAACACATTTGATTGCTCCCAGTAGGTGTGTGCTGACAGGGTCTCCTCTACACAGACCCTGAAGTTAGAGGTGTAATGCCAGTGAAAGCCAGAGATGTCACATGCAAAGTCCAGGAGGGACAAACTTTCAGACAAACACATAAATGTGGAAAAAATGTGAAAAAAACCCCACTTCCATAACATTTCCTAGGAGATACTAAATTTATAGCACCAGGGGGTGTCACCAGATATATGTGACAAGCAGTGGATGAAGTTGACAGCAACATGAACAAGTAAGTTAAGTTGTCTGGGAGTTTTGTTCAAGAGCTGCTGCTACACGCAGTTTCCCACCCTCTGCAGATTTGCCATGGAGTAAGGGAAGGCAGGTGGGAAATTACTGAAGAGATGTAATGCCTAAAGTGTGTTTTGTGATTGCTTGCCTGTATAGCTGTTTTCTAAGAAAACTAATCTGATCTGTTTCTTGCCACAGATGCTACCTAATCAGAATTGTGATCCTAGCAGAAGTGATTTATGTTAACTTCAGTTCAAAGCTGTCTTGGCAGTCTTGTTAAAAACAAAAAAAATTACTCCAAGCAAAAACCCACATATGAGCTTTTCTTTGGTAGCAGTATGGTCCAGCATGAAACTGCAGACTTTTGTACTAACCTCATTTAGATGAGGTTTCCAATTAAATTGAAATTTTGTGCAACTATAACCTGGTTTTGTTATTTTGCTGCTATATATGCTATACAAAATGAAAATATTTTTAATTTGTTAATTGAAATAAGTTGAATTTTTAAACTAACAAATCACCAGCTGAAAGACAGAGAGCAAGCAAATGGCTTGGCAAGCATGATTCTTGTAAGAGTGTTCTAACAAAGAGGAGGACTTCACCTGACACACGTGGGGCAATTCTAAGACTGCAGTTTGTCACCATCTTCTCTTTGCCCCGATTGCAGTACACATCTGCACTGACCCACGATGCAGTCCTGGTCATAGCAGAGGCTTTCCGTTACCTCCGAAGACAGCGTGTGGATGTCTCCAGGAGAGGCAGTGCTGGAGACTGCCTGGCTAACCCTGCAGTACCGTGGAGCCAAGGAATTGATATAGAAAGAGCGCTGAAGATGGTAAGGGCGAGTGTGCTGGCTGATGAATGGGTGTGTCCCACAGCAGCAGCAATTCTGCTGGGACCGCGCTTGTGTCCTGCTCCGTGTACACAGAGCTCCTGCCCTCACACAAACAGCTGCAGCTCCTCAGGGGGAAAAAAGAAAGAAAGTGAAAACAAACTTAATGACAAGCTCCGAAGGGTGGATAAAATGTATTCAGTGGAGAGCAAGGCATAACAAACTAGCTCTCAAAGCTTCAGCCACAATCTCTTCCCTCTAGTACCGGTGCAGCAGCTGCCTGGTTGTTCACACCAGAGCGCACACAGTCCCTCAGATCCCCCGTCACACCCCAGCTTCCCCTGAGAGTGAGCATGAGCCTTTTGCAGTCAAACATGTATTGGGGGTTTCTAAAGTCAGGATGGGCCTGCAAATCTAACTAAGAGAACTAGAGTGGTCTACAGCATGTGTATTGTAAATCCTGCAGGAATACGTATATTTATGAATTTAAACACAAGTGTGCAGTTTTGTTAATTTGACAGTAAAAAGTCAACTCAGATTGGTTTAAAGCAGTGGAAGAATTGTTGTTGGTCACAGCAGTACTGCTGGATTTCAGCACCAGCCTGAACCTTGACACAGTTTAGCCTCCAACCAGTTCTGATTCCTGGCATAACACTCAAACAGCTGCATGGCCAATTTTTTAACCCTGACACGAGTAATAATATAGGATCCTACCTCACTTACATCTCTAATTTTGTTGATTTTTCACTCTTCTTATGCTGCTATTTGTGTTAAAGCTAGTGACAATGAAAAAAATTGAATGATGTTTTTGTGGATACAAGAGACAAAAACTCTGCTTTTGATCTGGCTCAAATAACTCTCAAATAAACCTGTTAGAATTGATTATATTAATGCAGACATAGAGCTGGAGTGAGTGAGATCAGAATTAAGCCCATGTTATGTGTAAACAAATCCTAGGTCAACCTTCATACACTTGGCTTAATTACTGCTTTTTCTCAGTTACCAAATTGTTAAGGATTCTATCAGGAGGTTATAGTGAATTGTGGACAGTTGTAATCAGATTATATTACTCTTAGGAGTGAGAGAGATGGTTCAATCTCACGTAAAAAGAACCAGAGCTCTTTTTTATACCATTTTGTCACTTCCTAACTGCACATTCACTAATGTAGTATTGCATACTTTTGAAAAGAAATAACTAAATTCAACCTTCACAATAGTTAAAGAATTGGTACTGTCCATTTGAACTTAATTACAAGCAAAATGTAAAACTCCTCTGAATGAGGTATGAAGTATTCATGTCAGTAGAGAAAAGTAGCACTTCTACAGGACACTCCCTTATTTAGGAGAATTTTTTTTTAAAAGCATATTAAAAAATATTATAAAAAGCCAAACTCATGATTGGCAAAAAATGCAGAAGTTTGACTTTTGGCTGGTTGCCTTGTATTGTTTTAGCTATCCAAAGTCATGCAAGTGAGTTTTATATACACCTACAACAAGAGCTATCCAAGCTCATCCCACACTGCCTTCCAGTCCCCATCCTGTTCCATCACCCTCTCTCCTTCTGTTCAGACAATGATCTTGAATCTTTGCTTCAGGGGAAAAAAAAGCAACCCAACTCTGATTTAATAATGTTTCCTCTCTACTCTGTAGCATCAACTCAGATAAGAATATTTTTTTCTGAGATATCCTTGAAATATCCATCCCCTGCCAGCAGAAGGTTCAGTACCACACTATAGTCATCCTGCTGGCCAAAGAGAAATAGGCATTACTTGAATCTTCTTCCCTACAGCCTTGAAAACTGTGCATGTCTTTGCTTCTGAGGCTGGTTCTAAGACATGAGGTCAGTGGCAGTTTGCCTGAGCAGATCTGGACACTTATGAATAGTCAGTGTGTTTGTGATTGCCTCCACATGCTGCTACCAGAAGAGTTTCAGTCCTGGTGAGCCTTCCTGCCTCGGTGCAGCCAGGTTTTGCAAAGTGCCGAGTTTTCCCACCAAAGATAGAAACAAATTAAATTTGAAGTCCAGAGGTGTCCAGTGCACAAAGCTCATGTCTCCATGCACATCAGGATGAAGCTGGTCTAACAAGCTCTGCTGGGACACACAGTCACTGCTGTGCTAAGGTAGCCAGACAGCTTCCAGCAGGAGCCAAAAGCAGGCACAGCAACTCACATCTGGATGCAACTTATGTGTCAACTACCCTACAAATACATTTGCTCAGTCCACAGTTGATAAGACCTCTTCGGGTCAAATTTGGTTTTCAAAGTCCATTTCATCTCTCTAGCTTTCAGGAGATGAATAACTCACATTTTCTTCCAGCCCTCTGTAATGATATAAACTATTTTAAGCAAGGTTCAAATCCATTTACTCATATGTCAGTCTGAATTTGGCTCACTGGATAATTTGGGGTCTGTGGAATTTTGGTTATTTTATGTATCCTTGTCCACCATCTCTAAACTGTGAACAGCAGATCAGTCACCAGCCCTGAACAGTTTGCCTTTGACTAGTCTAACATCACTTCTTCCTGGAACTTCCACAGTTTTTGCTAAATATTAAAGCTAATTTACCCCTCCTGAAGTTTGAGACTGTTACCTCTTCTGCCTGAGATGACAGCTTGTCAGTGTTGCTAAGTGATGTGAGTGAAAATACCTCATCCTTTAATACAGGGAAATAAGAAAGACTTTTTCTTTGAAATGAGGTACTTTATACTTCCCCTTTGGATGATTCATGTGAGTAGGCAACGCTAATGACTTACCGTCTGCACACCCATCCATCCCGACCAAGACCAAAACTCCATAAGCAGTAGAGGCAATTGTCTGTGCTCATTCAGAGAAGACATTCATTCCTTTCTCCTGCACTGGGACTGATCTTAAAATAAAGCACTTCCTGGAATGTGCTGTGTCAGTCTGGTCCACACTGCAGATCGCTCTGTACCATGTTGTGAGGGGTTTAATGGCACTGAATTGTTGCTCGTGCCTCGCTGGTGCTCCGTGCTGTACCAGTGAACCCAGCGTGACCAAGCGTGGCAGAATCAGTCTTTCTTACATTTAACATACCTGCAGGGCTAATTTCACTTAAATGCATCTCACTCTGCGGCAGTGAGTCACCAGCTGAGTACTAACTAACAAATATGTACAGCTGGAACTGAGAGAATTTGGATTGGTTTTGTTTTGAAGAATATAACTGGCTGTTTCAAAAGCACTACCAGGCTCTTACATAGATAAAAATTTGGCTAGAGCTAGTGGGTTCCTGCAAAATAGAACAGAACGAAAAGATAAAGTGAATCTTTTATTAAAGTGTTTTTCCTGTTTTTTCCCTTAAGGTGCAAGTACAAGGAATGACAGGGAACATCCAGTTCGACACCTATGGGCGGAGAATGAATTACACCATTGATGTGTATGAAATGAAAGCTGGTGGGTCACGGAAGGTGAGTTTCAAGATATGCATCCAGATTTCACACCTTCACCAGAAACTAATGAAACAAAAATACCATAGAGGCAGTGTAATAACGGGGCCCTGAGAAATCCCCACCTTCTCTGCTGTCTTCCCTATCCCAGGAACCTTCTCTATTCAGTTCCTGGACTAAACCACTCACCTTGCTTAATGTCTTCATTGGTTTCCATGTCAACTTCAGGCACAACTTCTTCCTTTAAAACCCTTCTGAAGGTTTTCCACTGCCAAGCATAATACCTGCTGTCATGCTCCTGTGCTTAGCTTTCTCTTCTAAATTTTTTCAGTCTTTCCTTCCCTAACCATATAGTGCTTTAGAGCCATAGTGAAGCTGGAACCAGTGAAACCAAATAAGTTTGATTTTAGTTGAATTTCCTACTCATTCTCTTATCTCCTAAATAATAGATCCTAAGTGGGATAATCGCCTAGTTCTGTGTTATAAAAGATGTTTAAGGCAGATTTTCAAATATAATTAGGTAGATAGGGTCACAGAAGTACTGAGAGAGAAGTCTGCATAGCTGAGTCTCTTAAATCCCCCTGATTTCACCTGGAGATAGGTACCTAACCTGCTTGGTCACCACTGAGACTCCTTAAACACTTCTGCACATGTTTGATCACAAAAAGCCTGTGGACATGGCCCAGGCACTCATGTAGGTGTACAGTGCAGCCAACAGTGTTACTTCTGTGTTGTGCAGAAATATAAAAACTAGTGTGATAGCCTAGTGGTGTAGCCACAGCACCACGAAGGTCAGCTCTAGCCAGCTGATAAACAGTCACCTCACAAAGGGGTTTGTATCCTGTACTGAAGATAAAGCTGCTGTGCCTGCATTGCTGACAATGTCTGCATCTGCTCTCAGGCCAGCTCAGGAAGGTCTGCATGGGCTGTATTCACTGGCCAAACTGCAGCAGAATATGGATAAAAATTACAAAATCAGAGAACTTCATTCAGAATGCTGTGCAGTTTATTTTCTTGCCTGTAGTATATTCTTATGCTGTGGAAACATGGGAATTTATTCCACAGGCACCACGATGATGTTGATTGAGATAGGGGAATTTAATATGTATTTTCACTTTGATTTGGCTTGTGCTTATTTGTTCTTGGGATTGAGAACATTGTTTCTTTAAGGAAATTAACTTAAAGCTAATGTGGTCCCTTAATGACAGAAACAGAAATGTGAGAAATGTTACAAACCCATATGTTTTGACAGTTTCTTTTATAAGTTCAAGTACCAGAGTCCTTGTAAAGGTGTGTAATGAGATAACAATCTCCATTTTTATAGGCTGGTTATTGGAATGAATATGAAAGATTTGTGCCAGCATTAGATCAGCTCCCCTCTAATGACAGCTCATCTGTGGAGAACAGAACTATAGTAGTCACTACCATCTTGGTAAGTTTTATGTTCTTAGTGTGTTTGTGTTTAGGAAACAAGACACGTGGCTCCTGAGGTGTGTTAGACACCTCGCCAGGAGGTAGATGTTGAATACTGTGTGACTTCAAGTGACTGGAAAGTTCAGTATCTCCCAGAGATGTTCTGAGGGCTTGACCCTGCAAACTTATCAGTAAGTTTGCTCACTGGAGGAGCTCACTGAGCTCACCATTGTGTTTTGCTGCTTCTCAGACACTTGAATCAATTAAATGCCTCATGTAAGTGAAGTTATTGTGCATGTATATAAATGACCACAGGATCTGGCGTTGCTGCTGTAGGGTCAAATCTTGCACCCCTCACTCAGGTACAGCTCCTGTAAACACAACCCCTGTGGACTGAGTAAGGGTGGCACAATGAAGCCTGTAGAGAACTGGAACTGCTCTAGCACTGTGTGAAAAGCAGCCTATACCTGTGCAATTCCAAAGGAGCAAAGCTCTTCCCATGTCTCACGAGCAGCAGCACCTCCCAACGCCTCTACAGACCTGCTCTGTACAGTGTTCATTGTGACTTTTGTGCCTGTTACAGTTCTGCTAAGCATGAGCCAATTTTATGCTATTTCCTGAAGCATTGTATTTTATACTCCTATGGATTTAGCGAGATGTAACCAGCATTTCAGCTAGAATTTCCCAAGAAGGCTAAGGGAATTCAGTGACAAAAAATTCTGCTGAGGATTTTAGCCTAGATTCCCTTAGGCTGCTTTGGAAATACCTCCATCAGAGCCCCATTCTAGATCACTGGGGCCTTAGGAAATGATGTTGGTGGTACAGGTGTTGGGTATGTCAGTCCTTAAAACCTGAATTATTACTGCAGTGATGCTATTTGACTGCCTAATCAGGCCTGCAAACAGAAGTGTAACTTTATTTAAAAATCCTGCTGTCTTCAGTGGGTCCGTACTAGGAATGCAGTCAACAGTATGTGTGGCTGTAGGATCAGCCAAAGATTTTTAAACTGCAGAAGTCTGTCTTTCTAATTTCTGTACCAAAGCAGGAAATATTGTAAATACTAGCCAGTAATATAAAGGATAATAACAACTCTCATTTTGTGTGGTTTACAGCTGTATTTTACATTCATAGACTTTTGATCTTTACTTTTGTTTCAAAGGAATCACCATATGTAATGTATAAGAAAAACCATGAACAACTAGAAGGGAATGAGAGATATGAAGGATATTGTGTAGACTTAGCTTCTGAAATAGCAAAACATGTTGGAATAAAATACAAACTGTCAATTGTTGGAGATGGGAAATATGGAGCTAGGGACCCTGAGACTAAGATATGGAATGGCATGGTGGGTGAACTGGTCTATGGGGTAAGTTTCTCTTAACCTTCATTTTACTGTTCTTTATAAAAAGTTATGCTCAAAGTTAATAAACTGCAAAATAAAGATCATCTGTTTGAATACTACCTTTAAAATTCTAGATATTTCTTTGTAGAAATTTCTTTTAATAGTCTACTTTTCTAATTGTTTCATTGCAAGAAAGTGTCACTTTTTTACTGCTGTTCTCCAAATCAGAGTCCACAAAATGTTGAGAAGTAGCATTGGGCAAATTTCAAATTCTTGTTTAAAGCAGAATTTCCTGTTTGCCCTTCATATGCTGCTGCTTCATTTGCCACATCTCCTTTTTCTGTATCAGTCTCTTAAGTGCTGGGAGGGTGTCCCTCCCATTAAAGGTCTCATCTGTGATTCTGGTCCTCGTTGAGTCACTGATGCTGGTTTGTGTTTGACCAGAGACTAAAGACTCAGTTAGCCCCAAGGTTGTTTTTATCTTTTTTCTTTTTAAACCCTTGATTTGGTTTTAAAAATCAACTGGCAGACAAAAAAAAAAAAAAGCCTAATTCATTGCATTCCTCTTTATATTTCTATATTGGGTGTACATTGCTTTGTTTAGTAAGAACAAAAACAGTCCGGAATTGCCATTTTAGAAACTTCTTTGAAAATGAGAATTTTGGAATACAGATAAACCAGATGGAAGGGGGAGAAAATTGGCTCTGCAGAAAAGACTTTTCAAGCTGATATTTCATCTTTGCTTTTTTTTTTTTGCCCCAAATGCTAATGAGATGATTTGTGATTCCGCCCAAATCTTTTTTACAGTTTATTTTTAACAAGCTTTCCTCTATTAAAAATATCTGAGCAGAAGCGAATATTTCAATTGCTTCCTTTTGTTCCATGGCTGAGTGTAATTTCTAAAAGTCACCTCAAAATTTCCTTGGGATAATACATCATCATTCTTGCAAAATGTTTGGTGAGATAATTCTTTTCAAATGAATCAGTCTTCTTAAAATAATTACTAAATTTGCAGAAGTTTTCTTACTCTGGAGCAGTCAGTTCTGATGCCTTATTATATATGTGGTAGTCTCTTCAACCTCAAAATATTTTATAAAAATAAAAATGTTTTTGTGGTATCATATTATGGCAGGAAGGGAAATGTACTGATGAGAAAGTAAACAGGGGGCTGGACCCCTGGATTACATCTTTGCTTCCCTGTTGCATTGAGGTTTGACGTTAAGCAAACCTTCTGAACTCCCCATGCCTCAGTTATGCAACTTGGGAAACTGATGTTGGCTGTGTTAGAGAACACAAGTCCATTGAGAACCTCTGAAGCAAAGGTTTCATTCAGTTCTGAGCAAATTACGTTGCACTGGAAATCTAAACCCTCAGTTTCTCTGTGTGTGGTTCAAGAAATATCAAGAATATCAGCTGTAATTGGGTCCTTTTGATCTATTTTCGAGTGACAAGCAGTTTATTCACTTAAAAAAATAATCATACCATAGGCAAAAAGCAAGGCAGAAGAGAACCTGAACTTGCTGCTAACAGTCAGGCACAGGGACTGTCTGCACTAGAGGAGGAAAGGTGTGGTGTGGGCAACTTCTGCTGGGACTTGAGCCGAGTAAGATGAGCCTGTGCAGCTGCTGTGCTATGTAAGATCCATCAGGATAAAGGGCCACAAAAATGCTCAGAGGGGTGGAGCACCTCTCCTATGAGAAAAGACTGAGAGAATTGAGACTGTTCAACCTGGAGAAGTAAAGACTCCAGGGAGAGTTTAGAGCACCTTCCCATACCTAAAGGGGCTACAAGAGAGCTGGAGAGGGACTTTTTACAGGAGTGTGTAGTGATAGGACAGTAAGCAATGCCTTTAGACTGAAAGAGGGTAGATTCAGATAAGATATTAGGAAGAAATTCTTTACTGTGTGAGGGTACCAAGGAGCTGGCACAGGGAGGCAGTGGATGCCCCATCCTTCGAAACATTCAAGGTCAGGCTGGACAGGGCTCTGAGCAACCTGATCTCATGGAAAATATCCCTGCTCATTGCAGGGAGGTTGGCCTAGATAATCTTCAGAGGTCCCTTCCAACCCAAACAATTCTGTCATAAAGAAGTTGGCTGCAGCTGCCTTTTCCACAACCCCTCGGGATGAGCCTTGCTCAGAGAGCTCTGCCTCCTTAGCATCAAACTTAGCCTTGTCCATGTCCCTGTGACCAACCATACTTGTGACCTTTCCACACCAGCAAGACCAGCCCTGCAGGCACCACAGACCATAGTTTAAAACAACCCCAAACCCACCCCACCATGCTCATTTTCCCCTGCAAAAAGGTCTGTCCCTTTGTATTCTGAGCACAGTTTGCATCTGTATTTTCTTGTTAATGAAAAATTGAGGAATGTTTTCCTCCCTGACCCCCAACAGTTCCTGTGTGCAAGCTGTGAGCTCTGTTACTGAAGCCTCTTCGCTGCAGTGCTCAATTATTCAAAGGTCAGAGTCGTCCCGTGAGGTTTGAGTGCAGGCCCAGGTTAATTCCTACAGCCCTGCTCTGCTGAGCCAGCTCCCCGGCCTGCCAAGCTGAACTGACTGGCAAGCTCCATGGAAATCCACCTGGATTTCTGTGAGCAGAGGAAACAGCCCATGAACTCTGAGTGCAAACCTCACCAGCCCTCCAGACCTTTTCCCAGCTCTATTTGCAAACATCATGAAATACCCTTGGCCTCTTCCTCCATCTGTTGAGAGGGGGCTGTGTACCACACTCACGAAAACGTGCACTAAGCCCTTTGAAGATGAGAAATGCTCTAGAAGTGCTAATTATTTGGAGCAAACGCCTCATTTACGTACTGACTTTCCTTTATCTCTCAGGGGCTTAAAACTCTATTAGGGAACTAAAACTGTACCTCACTCTAATGCCCTTGTGAGCCTTGTCGGCAAAATGACTGTCAAATTTGGCTCCTCTGGATTCCATTTTGGGAAGACAAGAAGGAGATTAGATTTTAAGTATCTTTATTAGCATGTATGGAAGACAGACTTGGGGGGATAAAAGGGTCCTGATTGGTTTTGGTACCAGTTATCCAGCAGCTGAGCTGAGTTGTGGCAGAAACACAATCCTTTAGATTGCATTTGTCTCACGTAATAAACAGGGACTAGTCATTTGTCAAATACAGTGTATTCCTGACCCAACAGCCTCCTCACCACCACCTGGCACTGCTGGGGCTTTTTGAATACTGTGCCCTTTTTTGCTTAGCCCCATGCATATGACTCTTTCCTAAAATTGCTCTTAGGACAGTCATAGGAAGTGAATGGCTTGTCATTTTAATGTCAAAACCCTAATTAACTATATTTAATGTTTGGTTTGTGCCAGTTCATTGTTACTGTCGCTCTTGCTTCCTGTGGAACGCAGCACAGAGCCAGGAGAGAATATGCAGCCTCCAGACCACTGCTTGGAGAGCTCTAAATGTCAAGGAGCAGAGGGATGGGTGGGATGGGAGGGGGCTCAGACTGCACTGAGCTGTACCCAGAGCAACAGGGGTGCTGTGTCACTGTGCTGCAGGTCCTGAGGCTGCCCAGCACAGCCCTGACTCCAGGGTAAGACTAGCCAGAGGTCAGCATTAACTAGGCTAACTGGAGCAGTCCTGGGAGTTACACATTGCCGTTTACCCACTAAAATACTTCCCATTAGAAATTCTCCCTCTGCTTTCTCCTATCACGTCACTGGTTGGAGGCGTAAAAGTCTGCTGTGCCGTAGGGTCTCCGAAGTCAAGGACAATCTCAGCTCCCCCTCTTGGGCCTTTCCTTGCAGCTTTGCAAGGGCCTGTACCAATGCACCTGGTTACAGAGGGATGGGAGCCCTGGAGGCAGAGAGTTCTGCCTGAGCAGATATTCCCAAACTCCCTTGCTTCAGGCAGGAGAAGCCAGAAGTCTTGTTAGAGAGGAGCTAACAGGGCTTTGTGGTTTTTTAGCAATTTTTAAATGTTGGTGATAGTAGTAGGAGTAGTAATGGTAGTAGTAATAATAATTAATAATGATAATGAAATTTGATGTAAAATGAAATTTATCTGATTTTTTGTAACTCAAAAAGTGTCAATTCAGGTTGGAAAAAAACCTTAATTTTGCTCTTTCATTCTGATGGTGTCAAAATAAGGCTTCATCCTATCAGAAAAAAAACTACCAATTCGGGCACTATTATTGTTTTAAACTAAGAGCAATTTCTAAAGCATAGTGGAAACTTTTGACAGAATAAAAATAGAAAATAGATAGAGCTTTTTTTTTCCTGGACATTTCAGATGAGGGAAAGTAGCTAAATCATTCTCAGACCAGGAGACTGAATCACTATTTAAATCTAAACAGCAGAGCAATCCAGCAGGGCAAGTGCTGTCCTCCAGTAACCCACGGGCTGAGGATGTGCCCTCAGCTGGGGCCGTGGAGCAGCAGCACCTCCCTCAGCACGGCCCCATGAGGCCGGTGCTCGGGGCTTTGTATCCACCAGCTGCTGAGCACTAGACAGTCGTCTTTTCTCTTCTGTGGGGTCAGCCTCTTTCTGTAGGCTTTTATTTCTTCTTTCCCTTTTAAAGCAGGCTGCTGTTCTTCCTTCCCTGTTCAGCCAGGGAAAGCCGTCCCTCTCCGGCCCTGATGCTTTTCACAGCGCTGAGGCTAATTGACAGGAGGTTTAACACAGATCTTAATTGTAACTACAAATGCTTTGGGAATGAAAAGAGCAGCCAGACCTTACAGCCTTTAAAACTCTTCTCAGGTTAAAAAGGTCTTTGTAAAAACCTTTCAGTATGTAAAATAGCACAAAGGAATGAAGCAGGGATGTAAAGGACAGGCAGTCTCCAGAATGCAGCAGTTTGTCAGAATGAGACCACCAACACATCTCCCTGCCTTTAGTAGACTGACCAGCTTCATGTGGTGCTGGCCTCTCAGGCTCTCCCAGCAGTTAAAGAAATGCTGCAGATGGCATCTACAGCCTTTGAATTGTAGGAGAGAGGAAGACTAACTCAATTCCTAGTTCTCATCAAAATGTCCCATGTGCTCTTAGTCCGTGGCAGAGCCTGACTGTGCCATGAGTGGGTGGGTGAAGCTTGCCATTCCCTCCTCACCCCTGGTTTCTGCCATGGTGGCACTGCCACACAAGGGGACAGGATCGCAGCCCTGGCACAGAGCCACACTGCTGTGGCCCCAGACTCTGGCTGACCTGGGTCTCAGCACAGACACAGGAAGCACACATGCCCACAGCTCCAGAAGCAGATGTACCCTTTATGTCTCCGTCTACGTGTGGCAGTAGTGTGTCAGAAAGAGCTGTGGGCATCCACATAAAGCACAAATGGGCTTAACATTGACAAACTGCAGCAGACAAGGCCAACTGCCCTTTTAACACCTTAATACCTTTTTACACTGCTCAGCTAGTACACATTAAGATTTCAATGCACAGCATGTCCCTAGTCAGATATCAGCTGTTGGTTTTAAATAAGTGTGAGCTAGTGTGTTAAAAGCACATTGCCCCCATGACCTGGCCTCTCAACACACCCCAAATATCCTTGGGGATACTGGCCTGTCTTTACAAAGTTAGCTTTTGCCAGCAAATACCACAAGTGATGTGTTGCTCTGTCTGACACTCTTTTCTCATACCTGGAAACCTCAGACTGCAGTGAGAAGTCTTAAAACATGCTCAGAGTCAGTCACCATTCCAGCACAGTCTCTTCTGATGCCTCAGTGTACCTGTATTCAGCACTTTTGGGGTGCCCAGATGTTTGGCTGCCAGTGGAAGTCAGACAGTGTCTCTTTGCTTCAGTCTGCACACAGAGTGCTGCCTTGCTTGCCATCACACAAAGGTCTTGCAAAGTGACTGTAGCTCAGACCCACTTCTTGCAAATTGACACCCGAGCAAAGGAGTTGTTCAGTTCTGCGGGCAGGAATGACCCCAAGCACGTGCAGGCAGGAGCATAGCCTGTGTCTCTTGCTGTCTCTAGTGCATAGCTTTGAAGTTAGGGAGAGTCATCTGTAAGCAGAAGAATTCCATCCCTCCTTTTGGATTACAGAGGTGGAACATCTTATCTTTTTTCTTTTCCACATAGAAGGGGATTTCCATTTGCTATTTTTTCTCCTTCCCCATAAGAGCCTTGAGGTTTGCAGCTCCCTGGGGTCAGCTTTGAGCAGAGTGGGCAGCGCCTCTGTGCTGCATGTCCTCTCTAAATCCATCCCTCCCACACTAGTAGGCAAAGACAGAACAAGCCTCAGAGGAATCCATGACATTTCTCGCCCAGCTCAAATGCAGTGAAGATGATGTTTGAAACGCCATTAGTCATGAGTGATTAGCAAAGCTTAGTTGTTGAGGTTCTTAAACCCCCTCCAGTTCTGCACAGAGAGGGACATGTTTGTGGTTGTGTTCTTTTTTATTGAGCTCAATTTGTATGGGTTCTGCTTATCTGCAGCCATAACAGGGAGGGAAATTCTCAAGAGTGCTGCAGTTATTAATGGAGAGCTCTCCATAAGCTCTCCATTTCACATACTGTATCTCTAAATAAATAAGCAAACTGCAAACTGGTTTTTAACCTCCCTGATGCAACTAATATTCAGGGAAGTGGTGGGCAACCAGGCTTGGGCACTGGATTGTAGCTAGTCCACCCTCAGTGCTCTGGTTGTTGATGGTTTCCCAAGACCCTGCATGTGAACTGATGCTTGTTCCCTCTGCAGAAACCAATTGCTGCCATGTTCATTTAGGGATGAGGGTATTTGCTGGTGTTTCCAATATAGTGAACACCTTTGGTAGGAACAATAGGAAAAGAGGGAGACTGAAATGTATCAGAAAGATAAATGTTTGTATCCCTTGTAATATTGAAAAGCAATTTGAAAGTATTTACAATGAAAATCTGTACTGTATGATATGAATGACGACATGGTAGCAATTGAGACCTTTAAAAAGTGATTTGTCTGTGCTTCAGCACAGCATCATCTTCATTCCCCCAAAGTCCCACAGGAACATCCTACATGAACTCAGCTGGGCATGAAGGAGATACAGACTTTATTGCATGCTGCATCAGCACTTAGGAAGAACTCCACCATGTTTACTTTGGCAATTAAAATGTTACTTTGGGAGAATTAAATTTCTCCAGGTCCAGGAAAACGTTCCAGAAACTAGATGCTCTTATAGCTGAACCAGCCTTTTCCTTCCTTGACAAGGTGTTCCAAGGCTGGTAGTCCACGTGCAGAAGTGCCAGGCAGTAAGACACCTGCCTCCCACCTAAGCTTCAATTCACATGGAGGCATTGCTAATTCTCTGCAGGGGTCTCGATCCATTAAGCTTTCTCTAATAAGGATTAATTTGTAAGTACCTCATTAGCTCAACACGAAGTACAGTGGCCATGGTCAAAGTGCTCAGTCTTCCAGCCAGCCGTGGGCTCTGACTGCATTTAAAACTGATATTCTGTGTGCATCTCGTACTGACTGCAGACAGTAGCTCTAATATTTAACAGTAGCTCAACAAGCAGCACCTACAAGACAAATATATGTTCTAGGGGAATTCTTCAATGAAAAAGTTCCAACATCATCCAGTTCTTTTACCTCACTCTATCCATGTCCCCCCCCAGTCTCTCCATCACTTAGGTGATGAACACATTCATCTGCAAAGCCAGTAACACCCAGGCATCCCGAGGCATTTTCAGGTTTTATATTCAAGCCACGTTAAGCTAGATTTTTGCAGTAAGTGACCACATAGCTGAGGGTTTTCTCCTTGGGGAAAGGGTCACTCAAGGGGAAAGGCAGTGTCCCAGTATACATGACTGTCTAAAGGGGCTGAGCAGGGCTGTCAGAGGAGGCACCCAGGGCCATGGTTTCCGAGTGGCTTCCTTACATGCACAGGCATGGCTTATCTGATTATTCCAGGCAGTGAATTTGTGCACATACCTTGTAGTTGCACATGCCAGGATAAACTGCTGAGGGACATTCCTGAGCGGCTGGAGGAAACGCTGAGGTCGTGTGTGCAGACAGTGCCCTGTGGAGGGAGGGCTTATTGTGGGGAGGGCCAGTGCTCATCCGACAGGGCTGCCAAAGCCTCGGTCAGCAAACCCCGAGCCAGTGCCCCGGGCACTGCTGCTCGGTGCTGCCAAGGCACCAGCGGGCACAGAGCCCATGATGCTGAGATCAGCCTTAGCAGAAGCCTTCACCATTTCTGCTTATTAAACTTCAAAAGAAAACCTAAACCAACTATCTAGGAAGAGGAGCAAACCAGACATTAATGATAGTCACGTACATCACCATTAGATTTACATGAAGGCATATTCAATTGTTTTATGGCACAGATTTTAATCACTTCCTTTTAATGTTTCCTATAACTTGTATTCAAACTTCTACTTAATCAGGCTTTATTTTTCCACCAGAAAGAGATACATAGTAAATAATGGGGGAAAAAATCAGATTTAAAGGTGCACAGTGGTTTAGGTCCTGGTAAGTTAAGCTTTCCCTAAGAATCATTTTTTCTTTCTGAAATTCATAATTACCAATGAAAGGCCATCTTTGAAAGTATAACACAAATAGTTATAGAGTGTTTAAAATAGGTCACAAAAAATGTATGTAGGTATGTAGGCTCTCATAACAGTAACTTTTAAATGAAAAAAGCTCTTTTTTTTAAACATTCTCTTCCCCTCTGATGCAAGTGCTGGCACCTGCTAGGTTATTTAAGCAGCATGACTTGGATCTTTCTTGCATAGACATACAGATACAGTTAAACATGTTGAAATTCCCTACCATGGAATCCAGCAAAGGTGTATTGATTGAAGGGAAGGGTATTGGGTCAGGCTATCCCATGTGCTGGTCAATGACAGGTGCAATAGATGCGATTGTGCTTCCAGATGGCACAGCCCCAGAGCACGGTCTGTGTTACAGGGCTGCAGAGGCAAATCCTGTATAACAGGAGGGCACACAGGAGACTGAAAAATACTGCTTTGCATTCTTCTCAGATTACCCAGGCTATTTACTCCTCAGGGATTCACAAATCTGTGTTACTGTCCTTCAGTGAGCACAGAAAGGGTAGGCTGACTGGTTCCTATCCCCCACTATTTACTATCTTCTGTCCTTTATTGCAGTGGAGTTTCAAAGGAGTATACAAGTAGCAGTACCCAAATGCAGCTGAAATTCAGTGACTGATTACTTCTCATAGGTTCATTTTAAAGATCCTATAATGAGTAAGGCAAGAGAACTTACTGAAAGAATGGAAAAGACAAAATTAAAACATAGAAAACATAATTTGCCCAAAGTCTTCAAGACAAATGGGTAGATACAGACCAATACTAGAAAATTACATTGTTTTAATTGCCATCTCACTGTCCACTTTGTGTAGTGTTTATTCATCCCTTTAACATAATAGAAATACTGCACAGATTTGATCGTAATTTTTCTTGTTAATAGTTGTCTATTAATATCATGTAGTCCTTAACTTCAGTGACTGCAAAATAGACTGCAAAGAATGTTTCCACTCACTCTTGCAATTTATCATCTGATTCATTAGCCTGACATTCTAGATTGTGCTTCTCTTGTGTCTGATTTGTAGCTAACTCGGGTTTGTTTTCCCTTTTCAGAGAGCAGATATAGCTGTTGCCCCCCTCACCATAACACTGGTGCGAGAAGAAGTCATAGACTTTTCCAAACCCTTTATGAGCCTGGGCATCTCCATCATGATCAAGAAGCCTCAGAAATCTAAACCGGGCGTATTCTCTTTCCTGGATCCTTTGGCTTATGAAATTTGGATGTGTATAGTCTTTGCTTACATTGGCGTCAGCGTAGTTCTTTTCCTAGTCAGCAGATTCAGCCCTTATGAATGGCACTTGGAAGACAGCACTGAAGAACCACGTGACCCTCAGAATCCTCCTGACCCTCCAAATGAGTTTGGAATATTTAACAGCCTTTGGTTTTCCCTGGGTGCCTTTATGCAGCAAGGATGCGATATTTCTCCAAGGTTTGTTCCATGTCACTCCATCACCTTTTTGCATTTTATGGTCATTTTCTGATGCCATGGTGCATATATGTTACTTTTTCAAATTTCTTTTTTAATTCCAAATTTTTTATTTTGAGATTCCATTCAATGTTCAGCATCATCTTCAAGCCACCATGCTTGCTAACATTCACCTCCAGAGTGAGTAGCATTGCTTATAATGCCATTTATGCATTTCTGCCAAACTTATATTCACCATGTTAAGGCTGTAAAATGCATAGGGTTTTCTGTTTTCAGCAATGCTTGGAGGGCTACCGTGTTTTTGCTGCATATCTCATTTTACGGTCATCTCCTTGGTGCATAAAACACATTCTGCTTTGCAAAATAAGAATTATTTATTTTTTGAAAGTCACATGCAACAGCACTTTAAAGCATCTCCACTCCCATTAAGGCTCCTGCTAGTCTTTTTGCTTTCTTTTGAGCCTAGTTTCTCCTGTTTTGTTTTTCTTGAATCATCCTTTCATCTATTAGTAATTTGCTTTCCACCACATTTTCGCATATATTCAGGTCTCTGTATTCACTGTGTCTGTACTGCCTTGTATCTGTATTGCTACTTCAGTCCAGTCTAATCTGTTGTCCCTCTGTTCATAGTCAATATGGTCTAATAAGCACTGCCAGTTTCCATAAAGATATTTCTTATTCATGAAGACAGTCATTCTGGATAGGGCTGTAGTAAAGTATGTTTGACATTAGTTCCAGTGTAACCAAGAACAGTGCTATTAACTATTGCAGACTTAATTTCTGTTTTAAAGAAGTATTTTAAAAACCAGCTGAGAATAGTGAAGTTCCCTCTGATTGAACAGTGCATTCCACAGATGTTTTTTGAATAACATATAGCATGTTTCTGCATTTACACTGGTAAAATGCTTTAGTGTTATGCTTGTGATAAGCAGTAAAATTATCTAGTTTCTTAGTGATGGAGCACTAATTACATTTTGTATGACAATAATCTAATAATCAGTTTACAGCTATTTTAATTATTCCAAATACCTGCTTAGTACAAACAGGATGCAGTTTTTCTATTTAACAAAGTTGCTATTTAGAAGAAGAGAGGTAGATCTTTTCTAAGCACTGGCATTTGAAATGCACCTTTTTAATCTCCACGTTTATTACCTTTTTTCAATACCTGAATCACTGAAAAGTCGCCAGGTTTTCCTGGTCCATATAGCAGTGGGGTTCTTGAGTAGCCCCCATGAAACAAGTGCCTATGAAGTTTCATGGGAAAGATCATGATTTTACCTGTTATAGTGTAACAATGATCCTATAAATTCACAGTCGTTGCATATTCAAATGTCCTTCTGACGGCAGTGAGACCCAGGACTTTGGTAGTTACTGATGTGTGCCTGGTGATATTTGATGCAAGTCACGCCCACATTTTAAAAGTCTTGACAGCAGCAACTGTATTTCATTCTTACCAAGGAATCCGTGTGTATCCTCTGTAACACACCCCCGTTTTGCCCTGGCTGTGACCACGGGGCAGTTCTCCCAGTTCCCTGTGCCTGGGTGTGCTGCCTCCCTGTGTGCTTACAGCTGTCGGTCTGTTCCTCCTGTTCACGCTCCCTGTTTCTGCTTTATGCCTAAATCCTGCACTGAAACTTTGCCTAGCTGCTTGCTGTGGAAGGGGATGAGCAGTGATAACATTTAAATTGCTGTTGACCATGTGTGTGCCCAACATAAAGGACCGGGAAATAAGCACTGGGACATCACATGGAAAGCTGCAGGCATTGCACTGTTTCCACTAGGTCTGGTTATTGACAGTTAAATAGAAGTGCATAGGATTTTTGTTAAGCTCTCATGTGACTCTTTGGTATGTTCAGCCATTTCCCTTATATAACAAGAGGAACATAGTCTGGTTTTTCTTAATAATACCATGATAAGTGCCTTGGATATACCTACCATAAAGAAAAGAGGCAGCAGTATACCTATTTATTTTAACTGTCCATCAGAAGCTGTTAGCTCAGTATTAATATATAACCCTTGTTTGAAAGCATTGTCCAGTTCTTTTGTTATCTTCTATGATAACATTCCAGGCAGTTACATGCATTGTTACTGAAAAGAAAGATAAATTTAATACTTGGGTTTAAATTCCAGAAACACTGTTTCTTTGACCTATATGTTGATTTAAGTTGATTAAGATGTCAAATTTCTTTTCCGTAGAAGGGACTATTCCCAAGTATTCCATTCTTAATCCATATCTTTGTAAGGTTACACCATTCACAGTACATTGACTATATGAATGTTTCATACTATTTTATTGCCATTAAAAGGGGCTTCATTCTTCCATTGTGAGTTTTGTCTGAATAAATTTCTTATATGAGAGCATACAGCACTTGTAGAGAGATGCCGACAAGCAGTCTGGAGAGATCACTTTTGTACTTGCTGATAAAGGCTCTTTCAGCTGCCTTTGTGTGGAACAGCTGTGACATCTAATGACTAGTTAGATCTATCCTCGGTGAGTATGCTGTGTGGATATTCCAGAGGATATATCCCTATACTCTCCTCTCTATATTTAATAGGAGTCGTCTAAACAGAATCAGAGAGCAGCCAAGGGGTGGGGGTTAGTGCATCCCTTGATGGAATCAACACTTATTTCAGCAGTTTTGTTCTGCTATCAAAGGCTGCTGTGTTTTCTGCATAGTGAGCTAAAGCATTGAAAATTCACTTTTGATGGATCAAAAGTAGATTATTAAACTTGCTTTTATGTGAGATGTGTACAGCAAATGGAATCAGGAAAAGACACAGTCAAATTTGTAACACTGTTTTGAGCGAATGTGTCTTTGAAATCTCCATGTGAGCATGTATTTTCATTTTGCTCTTTATTCATGTAGAACAAAGAGGCTAGATTAATTAATTGCTGATGGAAAAAGACAGGAGGTTCATTAAAATCTGTCTCAAGAGGTTGGTCATTTCGAGGGTGTATTTCTAGGTCCCTGTTTTAACAGCAGGAGACTCGAGAGACTCCTATTAAAGGCCATGGGAATGACTTTGTGGGACTTTCACAGTAGCAATGAGAGCCAGGTAACTAGAGATTTCTGAAACTCCCACTGCCATTCCTATGAGGGAAGCATCTCAAGCCAGTGCTTTAGATGCTGTTGTTGAGTGTGTTGTGTCCCTGTAGCTGAGGCGAGGGCTGGCTGGGTGAGCAAGCGAGGGTCTGGGCTCGCAGGTAACGTGTGCTCAGAGTATCAAGGGCTTCTAGACCAGGAGAGTTTGTACCAAAGTTGTTCAGGGTTATTTGTCAGTACAGCAACCACCTTGTGTCGATCCAGAGAGCCCAATTAAAAACTGAGTAGTTGTGAGAAGCTTATTATTTTTGTGTACTATAGGAAATCAAATATGTTTTATGGCCATGAGCAGAAACAAAATTCAAGCTATCTTGATAAATGAGGTTTTGTTTGAATGTGTTATTCTCCTGGAAACTGAATGTGAATTTGAATATTTATTTTGTTTTTTTCTCTCGTTACTAATTTGCTCTCATTTGACTCCATGCTTCCTTTTAAATTTCCTCTCAAGGTATGCGCTCTTCCTTGCTTTTGAAAACACCATCTGACTTTGTTTTGACTATTGAGTTATAATTGTGTTATTCCAGGTCTGTGTTGCTCCTCTCATTTGTTAGCCCTCTAATTCACTTTAAAATATTGTCATACAAAGTATCTAATTATTGAGGGGATTGGGAAAACTACATGTTGGGATAAAGCATTAGTTGTTTTGGTTTTAAATTACAACACTGCACATGTGAACAGGTGTGTCTTCGTCAGAAAATGTGGTGCTGGTATTAAAAGCTGCGATTGATTTTTCTATAATTATCTGAGTAGTGGACAAACATTTCTGTGGGTCACAGTACAAACCATATGGTTATTCTCTGATTACCAGCCTGGTGTTCATGTACTAACCCTTTTTCTCCTGCATCCCTCCACACCAGCCCCTGCAGTGGGTATAAGGAGTCTTCGTATCAGCAGATGGCCTGGGGGGAACTGGGGTCCTTTGGGCAAGGAGGCTGCCAGGCCATGCTTGTCCACGTCCTTGTTCTTCAGTTCTGTCTGTCTGTCTATCTGTCTGTCTTTCCTTCAGTGTCAGCTTTGTGGTTTATTTAATTTTTCTTTTGCCCCATCCTGTGCTCCCACCAGTGACAGCCATGTCAGCCCAACTTCGTAGTAGCCGCTGTTTAATCTTCCTTCCTGTGCTCATGGGAAGACTCTGGGAGAAACAACTTCAGTGTCATCCAGTTTTCTTTCAAGTGACCTCAACTCTTCTGAAAACAGCTCTGGTCCCCTTCTAGCAAGACCCCTCTCTTGCATGTAGGACCCCTGAGGAAGTGCCTTCTTCATCAAGGGATCCCCCCATGCCCCCCTTCCCCTGCCTCTCAGCTGGTCTCAGTTTTTGTCCTGTATCTGTCTGATTTGGTTCATGCAGGTTGCAAGATCTCTGGGGTGAGATATTTTTACCTTTCTTGGTGTGTTGGATGCTGTCTGAGCGTGCAGCCCAGCACAGAGTTTTTATTGTTGCAGCAGTGTGAGCTTGATGTTTCACTGGTTTGGAAAATGCTTGTCTTCTGCACATCTCCATCCCAGCAGCCCATCTGTCCTGCTAACAGAAGGGGCAGCTGCCAATGCAAGTAAGAAATTTCCTATGGGAAACAACAAGAAGAATGAACACATACTATTTTATTCCCAGTGCTTCTACTGAATTTATCAAAACACTCTGGCAAGTCTTTTTTTCATCTTCCTTTTTCAAGGCCTACCTTAAAGCAACAGAGAACCTGGAAACTCCAGATAGAGCTAGTTCTGCTGTAGGCAAGTGGATGTTTCATCTGCTGTACCTGCTGCTCAAAACCTCTGCTCAGTCTGGCTCTGAAATTGTCTACCTCATGCATGGAGAAGTTCAACTCCAGATCTTCTCTGAAGACAGAAAGTATATAGTGAAGGAAGGAGCAAAAGTAAGATGAGTTTCACCTGATGTAGCCAGCTGAAAGCAATGGACTGATTTTTAGTGAGGCATCTTGGTTCCCTCCAAAGTCATGAGACAGATGACTTTAGATTTACCCTACACTACAGCAAATGAGATAAATCTCTTTCTAAGTGTGTCTGTCTCCTCTCTTTCTGTCCCTTGGCTCCAAAGGAAGCTTTACATGGCGAGTTCAGCAGGCTCTGCTTTGTAGTTGGCTAAAATTGTGTTAGCCCATGTAAGAGGCCAATTCAGTGTGTAGGGTATCAAGTTGTACTAAATAGCTAAAGCCAAGACCCTCCCTGGTAAGGAAGCTGACCAGAAAGAACTTGAGCCCTCTGTAAAATCCAAAGATATTTGCCTGATACCTACAAAGAATGTAGAGAGAGGTGGAGAGATTGCACGACTTCATGCATAATTCTGTATTTATATTTCTTCAAGTTCCCTTTGCAACCACTCAGTAGCCTTCTGTTAGTGAGCACAGCAGCTGCACAGCCCAAGCTGAAACTTGGAAGCCTTTTATCCTCTTGGGGGCCTTCAAGACAGGCAGGGAAGCCTCCTCTGATTCTGGGTGATCCCGTTGATGTGTGCCTGCCCTGAGGAACCAGCTTGCATCTGCCCTCTTGGTGGGAGCTTCTGCTTCAGCTCCTTAGGCAGAGGAGAGTGGAGAACAGTAGAGCTTCACCTCTGTGTTTCTTCTCCACATTCCTCTCACCTATTCCAGATTCATTTCTCTGTTTTTATTGTGTTGGCAATTTTTTTAGTTCGTTATGTTCTTTAATGTTGGATGGATAATTTTTTTTCTTTCTTTTATTTCTTAATAATTTAATGGCTTTTTTTTAATGGCTCAGGCAATCTCAGGCTCTGGCCAAGACTGGGCAGTTTACCAGCAAAACCCCACTATATGGGTGGGGTGGGGGCACGTCACGAGACTTTTGCTTTTTGCCTACCTCCATCTGTTGGTAGGACAACTTGTACCCACTGTCTGGGGATGGCACTGAGGGGTTTGAAGGAAACAAATAATCAGGTAAGAGTTTTCTTGCTTTTTACTTCTTCTCTTCACACAAACTGAGGACTACACCACCCAGGTTCCACTGATGTGTCTGGGATTATTTCTCCACATAGCAGAGCTAAGGGAAAATATATGAAATAGCTTTGTGTCAGCACCTGAAATGATTCTTGGTCAACATGCTGTTTGAAGGACAAGCCCTGTACGTGGCAGTGACATTCCCCACCTGGCTGAGTGACATGGCACTGGCATCCTTCAGCCCACGACAAATGCTTTGAGCCTGATGTTCAATTGCTGTAAAGCATCAGGAGCTCTTACTGACAGGATCTAGACCTCCTGACCATTAGGCATTTTGTGATTATATGTTTGCAGATAGGCTTTTTTTTTAATCCTTATTGGATCCCTTTAAAAAACCTCAACAGAACCAAAACACAGTTAATTTTTTTTCTATTTCCTTCTCCATTGCTCTGGTGGTTATAAATCAAGAATATGCTTGAATTGGAACAGTGCAACATGCGAATTTTAATTAACATAAAACATAAACCAAACCAGCCTCTCTCCTCACTTCAATATGCAGATTCAGTCTGTAACTGCTGCTCAATTGTGATGAGAGAAGGATACTGCATCATTTTTTGGTGTATTCCTTTGCATGTTTGCTCAGATTCCTTTTTGCAGTTTACTGTATCTTACATTTTGGGAGTTGATGCAGTAAAAAGTGCATTTGTGTCCTCCAAGCTGGGCAGCCCCCAAAGAGAGACAATACCAGCATATCACAGCAGGCAAGTCCAGCGCAGGGAAAGGTGGGCACATGGAAAAGACAAAGGTCTTGTGACAAAAGCCTTCTCCAGCAAAGTATTTGTGGAAGTCAGGAGAGCTTGTTCCTCTCCAAGCCTCAAATGAAGTATTTCTTAATTGACTGTCCTTGTTTTCACTGAAAGGCAAAGGGATTTTCACTAGATAAGACCAGATGCGCTCGAGTTCTCTCCCTGATGAAGGCTCTTAGGAGCTGGCTCACAGTCCACCTGTTCACAGATACCTGGAGGATCTGGACAAAAGGGTTGTGCATGTGAATTTCTCTTCAGTGAAGAAGAAAAAAATCAAGGAATGTCTTCAAAGCAATTTGATGATGTGTGTTTTTCCATAGATCTCTCTCAGGGCGAATTGTCGGAGGAGTCTGGTGGTTCTTCACTCTCATCATTATCTCTTCCTACACTGCTAATCTCGCTGCCTTCCTTACGGTGGAAAGGATGGTTTCACCCATAGAGAGCGCAGAGGACCTGGCTAAACAAACCGAAATAGCCTATGGCACTTTGGATTCAGGTTCAACCAAAGAATTCTTTAGAGTAAGTCTGTTCAATCTCCACTAGAGTTTTTCTGAACTGTAAATGCCTAACTTATGGGTTTCAGTTGTTTGGTTTTACCCAGCTGTAATAGCTGTGCTGGTGAAAGCTGCTTTGTGCAATCAGGACAGGCCTGAGTGCAGATTTTAATATCAAAATGCATTTTATCAAAAATGAGTGGTTTTGCTCAACCTGAAACATGCCAAGATGGAAATCTGACCTCTGCATATCATGCGAAAGGTTTTGTAACACCAGTTCCAGAACCTTGGTCTGATGAGCAATAATGCAGTCGTTAGCACAATATTTAGCAGAGAAAACTCTTTGTGAGGAGTGATGCTCTTGACCTACTTGCTCTGTGTGCCCAGCTGGCAGCCGGTAATGCCATCCGACATCGGTGCTCACTTGCCAGCACGAAAGGGGGATGGGAGACGTGTTGCTGCTCATTTCTGTTGGTGCACTGATTGCTGCCATTGTTGTTTCTGTGTCTTGCTCGCTCACCAGTGTCTGGCTGTGGCCCTGTCAGGCAGTCAGAGGTAAAACTTCTGTACCCCAGAACACTGGGGTGTATTCACCTTGGTTAGAGAAATGCTGGGTTTGCAACGTTTGGGGGTACAGGGGGTGCACACTTTTATTTATGATCCTTTCTCTCTCCTCTTGCCAAGCCACAAGCTGAACTGCAGAGAGTTTGGTGAGGGGCATTAAGAACTCTAAATATGACCTCAGGCCACTTTTATGTCTCTGAAAACGTTGTCCTGAAAAGCTCTTATTTCTGGCCTTCCAAGGGCAAACTGAAATGCTCGGCCCTTTCAGGGCTCTCTCTCAGCGGTGCCAATCAGGTGCCATTCAAACCAACTTTTTTTTGTATAGAAAAGTGGTCAGTGCTGCAGGACTAATTACTGCCTGTCACGCATGCTGGCCAGGTGCAGGGGGGAGGGAGGAGGCAGACAAAAAACCCTTGCTGCTGTAGGCTGATGAAATACCGAGGGCTCCTTGAGTAAATCCTGAGGGCTCCTTGGATTTACTTAAAATTTCAATACATGACAACACATACATGTATGTACATCTGATGTAAAGATGAAAGTGAATGCAAAGGTATTTTATGAAGCTTTTGTACTCTGCCTTACCTACATGTAATGTCTTTACATTCAGATGGATACTCAGTAGTTCTTAATTAACTGTTGTAGCTGGTACATTACGAAGGCTTCTGTTTGTGTTAAAATCCTGTGAGGTAAACACTGACCTTGTAAGGGTGACATTAATGTATAAAAAGTTTTGTTCCATTTAATTATCAGCCTGAGGCAGTATTATCTGCACAGCAAAAATTAGTTGAGTGGACCTGTCAGAAGAGGTAGTACAACTTGATTAGAAATATTGGTTCTGTTTATAGTCACTATACTGTTCTTAGAGGGAAAAATATCTTCTTTTGAATATCATGTTACTGTTAATACAAAAAGAGGGCTTGTATAGGGGTGTTTCTTCATTTCCTTAATAGTTTGACACAACAAGGAAATCCCTTCTCGTGAAGAGATCAAAGGAGTGAGTGTTTTGTGTGAAAGGATACAAAGTCTGGTAAATGTATGAGTACTTTGTTGTGCTGTTGATAGTCTTGAGATGAGCTGTGACTCTCTCCTGGTGCTGGGGAAAGCAGGGCTGTAAATGAGGCTGATCTGTCAGGAGCTGTCAGCTCCATCTGGCCAGGAGAGGAGTCGGATGGGGATGGAGGAGAGCAGAGCCCTGGTAGTGTGGAGTGAGGCTGGATGGGCCAACTGGGAAGAAGAATGGGCCCTAAGTGGTGCTTCTCTCTCTTCAGCATTCTCAAGGCACACAACATAATTTCAGTTGTATTAACTTTTGCAGAGTAATTAATTTGAATAGGGTGATGCAGCCATGAAAGTGTTGTAATTAGTCTTCTTCAGTTGATTTGAAAAGGGCAAAAGCTTTGCCTTAGATTAAATGTGTATGTTCACATAAATACTAAATTGTACAGTCTTTATTAGTTACTTAATGAGAGGGTAATGGTGGCTGAAACTTGAAATAAGTCCTAGAGGACTCTGGGTTTCTGAGGTCCTACAGCACAGACTGCACCTCTCTGTGTTTTAGGGGATTTGTTCTCCCTTGGCAGATCTTTTTTCACTGCTTCTGGAACATCAGTGGGAGTGATGGTACTCTGAGTCAGAAAAGCCATGGGTTTTCCTGGGTACAGGGTGATGCTTATGCCCTGTGTAGGGGGAATATCCTCTCTCACCCATTCTCCCCCAGCATTTAGCCAATTTAAGCAGCAGTTGGCTGAGTGGTTCAGGATCAGGTACCCAGAAAGAAAGAAAGTTTTAACTGAGGGAAAGGTGCATGAGGAAGTTAGTGCAATCCTTGTTTACACCAGTTGCCCATGCTTATCTATACACTCTGGCTGTGGCATGTGTAGGTAAATCTTCCCTAGAGATGGGGGAAGTTACCTGGCTGTGAGCAGACGGTCAGCACATGTGTAGATGCAGCAAGAACAGTAACTATCTCTTCATAGAGCTGTAAGGCTAAAATGTTTCTCAAAGATATTAGTCAGATATTGATCTTAATGGTTACTGTTGGCAAGAGAAAGGTGCCAACAGAAAGGAAAAATTGCCTCCTCATGCATTGTAGAGGGAGCTTCAGATCCCCACCGTGTCGTCTGCATGTGCTTAGAAGGAGCTCCTTTAGAGCCTTCAGGCCATGGCTCCCTTCTGCCAACCCCATTTCCAGATAGGATCATTTTTGAAGGTCTCCTTTACAGTGTAAATACCTGTGAATACCTGAAACTGGAGCGATACCAGCCCCTCAATTCAGATGAACAGATGGTAATGACTTTCAGCCACTTCAGGCCTGGGCAGACTCCAGCCAGTGACCTATTTTACATCCTGGCGGTTTCCCTGAGCATCGCAGTGTCTCCCGGGGAGATGCTGTCCCAGCTCTGTGGGTTCAGCTGGATACACCATGGCTGTTCCAGGCAAGCATGGGGACTGCTGTCAGCCTGACACCGCTCTCACAGTCCAACCACAGCTGGTTTGTTGTAACAGCTTCACAGCAGACACTGTTCACACTTCTCACTTGTTGGTGACTCTCTGTGTAAGGGAATTTGTCCTCCCGGTGTATCTAAGAATCAAAGGAACCTTCCTGTGTTTTCATGGTTGTTGCTTGTTTCTGCTCAGAAACATTTTACATTTTGCACTAATTAGCTTATAAAGGCATTTAAATGGCAATCAATAGATTACATCAATTCCCTTTTGGCTTTTAAAGGGCACTCATCCATATTGAAAAGGAAAAGAAAGAACCTCTCCTTAGTTATTTATTAACACACAGTCCCAAATTAACAATGCCAAAATACCTCTTTCTCTTTCTTGAGCACTGGTGGAGGCCTGTACGAAAAAGCAGTTTCAAATCACTAAACTACTGCTTTTAAGGGTGTATCTGTTAGAATTATCTTCTAATACATTCAATTAAAGTTTCAGCATATCTGAGCAGCTTATCAAATCAATATAACACCATTTAATCTAAATTCAGCACTGAGCCTAAGTATAATACCACAGTCTAATAGGCTTCACCTCCAATATGCATATGTTCAAAAGGCATGACCTTTACAACCAATTAGTAATTCTTGTATAAACTTGGCTGTATTTGAACTTGAGTAGAAGTAGAACGAGTTTGTAGACATTTAGAAATCTAAATTACCCATGAATTTGTGGTGGCTTAATTGATAACAGATATGAGTGGTGAGAGACTTCTGCAAAATAACTTGCCAAGTGTGTGTTTGATCATTGACAAACACAGCTGACCTGCTGGTACACTTCACTGAGAACCTGAAATTTCAGAAGGTGCCCTCGAAATTTATCTGGTGTGATCAGGCTGTACAGGAAACAGTGAGGCAGGTAACATGTAGCAAGATCTTCTTCCTTTTGTGGGCAATTGCAGGTGGCTCATATCACACCATTACCAATGTAGTTAATCACCATTAACTAAAACTAAGGAAAAAGAAGGTCTCAAAGGAATGTTGTTTTGTTGTAGAAATTTTTTATTTGTATATTTCTCAGCAATAGTTTAAGGATGTCTCCAATTCGGCTATCCAGTGGCTCTCCCATGCCTCGGGTGAAAGGACTTACTACCCTGAAGTCAGTTCCTAATTTTTTTCTCCTGGAAATGTCATTAGTTGCCAGGCCTGTTAGGAATCTCAGTAGAAAGGCCAAAGACCCTCTGGGCATGATGGTTTCTGCTCTTACAGTTGGTTCATCAGTTTCTTCAAAGAGTGGTTCTTTCCAAACCACATTCAGATGTGAGGCCTTTCTGGACTTCAAACTACAGGTTTTAAGACACAGGAAGTCATGTTAAGGATGGCCCCCTAAGATATTCCCTGTTTTTGTCTCTTCTTGGTTTCATCAAGTCAGAATAGTTCAGGAGGAGCAGGTTGAAAAGCACAAGATGCTCTGGCAAGAGGCTTTGCATTTGTGGTTGCCCATGCTGAGGAAAGGTGATGACATGGGAATAGCTACCAGAAAAAGCATGTAAATATGGTAAGGGAACTGGTGAGGTATTTCTTGAAAAGAAATTTAAGTACAAGTTCTTTAGCTGGTAAAACTTAAGCTGACACAAAAAACAATTTACTCAAAAGCAAAGAAAAAAACAGCAGACAGAGAGGCACCAAAGCTGAAAATGAAAATTTATCTGAAAAAAACCAGTGAAAGAACAAATGAACACATTGACTCCAAATTCCTTGGAAATTAAAAGAAAACATTCCTTAAACCCATCAAAAGGATTTTGAAATAACTTCCACTAAAAGCTTTTGGGGTAACTCAGACCTCCCCTCCTGTTCAGCACTGGTGTGTGTCGGGCTGTGTAACGTGGGGCTGTGGTGGCACCAGTGGGTCCCTCCTGGCTCGTGCAGAGAAGACTCCCCATCCAGGTGCCTCTGGGGCACTCAGTACAGGCAAACTGTGGTGGACAAGGCCAGTGCTGTGCTTGGGCAGCCAGGCAGGAGCACA